GCGGGTGTCGATCACTACGTCGCGCGGCGACCCCCGCACCAGCCAGATGTTGGCTCGGTTGCCGGACTCGTAGAACCGCTCCTGGATCCAGTAGATGCCGCCGCCCAGGGGCTTATGCGCGTACCACTCCAGCGCCGACATGCCGGGCCGCTGCGAGCCCAGCACTGCGAAGCCACCGCCCCCAGGAGGAGCCTGCGCGGCGCCCCACCCCACTGCGGGCTGCGGCAGCGTCGCCGGGGGTGGAGCTGGCTGACACGTGTTCCCATCTTTTAAAATTGTGCCTGGAACTGAGCGCCCAGCCCCACAGAACTAAATTCCCACAGTCTCAGTTTTAAAACGCCTTCATGTTTGATTAATAGCTAAAAATGGAGTCTGGAGTCCCATTTGATTTCTAGACAGACCCACATTTTTTCCAAGCTGGAGATCATCATTGGTATGACACTTGCAATGTAAAAATACCTTTTCTCAGTCTTTGACTTTTTTCCATCTTACTTTTGGCTTTATTTTTTGTGATGCAACTAGAATCTAATAATATTTTCAGTAATTCCAAATGGCTGGGTCAGGAAAAGGAAGAGGACGTGCTGCATTTACTTTCAACATCGAGGCTATTGGCTTTTCCAAAGGTGAAACGCTACCTGAAGTAGCATTCAAGCCCCCTCCGTTGTTTCCTGTAAGTAAAGAGAACAAGCTTCATTTTAAGAACAAGTTGCATGTCTGAACAAAGTGTTTCATGTTCATATTTAGGTAATGAACCGTTAAATGGATGGAAAAAATCTAATAAATCAGTTTTGAAAGTAGCTAATCCACGTCTCTGTGTATTCCCAGAGATAGAAATCTCAACAGCAGAGAGAGACCGTTTATAAGAATTGAGGTGTTTACACTGTGTTGTCTTGGAGCTGCACTGTGAGAGCTTTACAGATCCCATGTTCTCTAGTTTAGACAAGGCCACAGTGGGATGATTTTTTTTTTAGACCTGTTAAATTGTATTGCTGTCCAGGAGATAACTAACATGATTAAAATATTGGTCAGATTAATTATGTTTAGCATAGATTGAACCATATTTTGGGAAGTGGTGTTGTTGAAATTGCTCTCACTGAAGTTAGCAGCAGTAAGGGCTTCAGAGCAAGTCAGCTAGCCTGAGACATTTGAAAGGGGGGGCGGGTGGAGTGAATGGTGATGTGCACCTTCACTGACCTAAAGTCAATTGAATTAGAATGTTATGTTTTTATGTTAAAATGTTTTAGATATTTCTTGTTTTATTCCTTTCCTAATAGAGGTTTTCATGATGGATATATTAAAAAGAAAGAAATCCTTTTTACAATTTAATTAAAAAATATGCATTATAAAGTTCTGAACATATTGTCAGAATGCAGTGAAACATATTTGCAAACTAGTATAATACATAATTGAACTCCTCCATAAGTAGAGGCATTTTTTCTGTAGTTTTATGTGTTGCTGTATGTGATGGATATTAATGCAATTATGTACCTTAATTTACACAGTCAACAGGTTTTAAGCCAGTGCCTCTGAAAATGGGAGAAGAAGAAGATTATATGTTGGCCTTGAAGCAAGAATTTAGAGGAAGTATGAAAAATACGCCTTATTTTATGCCAAGCAAAGATGAAAAACAAGGTTTGTTCTGCATAAATGTAAATCAGCAAAATGTATTTGTGTATGGAAACTGTAATAATTAGTCTTTATGTTCAAGCTGTAGTACTGACACTAAATAGGGACAATGACAACTTGAAAGTTACATTTTACTAAGAAACTTCTGCAGCTAGGAGAGTTACAAGTAATGTCTAAATTTGCTGTAACTAAAAAATAAACACCAGTCTCGGAGTGTAGCTATGTTAGGCTACGTCTACACTGGCCCCATAAAACGGAATAGTCATGCAAAGCAGGTAAGTCAGAATAGGGAAATCCGCAGGGGATTTAAATATCCCCCGCGGGATTTAAATAAACATGTCCGCCGCTTTTTTTCTGGCTTGGGGAAAAGCCGGAAAAAAGTGTCTAGACTGGCGCGATCCTCCGGAATAAGGAGGAAATAAGAGATCCTCCGGAATAAGGAGGAAATAAGAGATCCTCCGGAATAAGGAGGAAATAAGAGATCCTCCGGAAAAGGGCTTTATTCCGGAGGATCGCGCCAGTCTAGACACTTTTTTCCGGCTTTTCCCCAAGCCAGAAAAAAAGCGGCGGACATGTTTATTTAAATCCCGCGGGGGATATTTAAATCCCCCGCGGATTTCCCTATTCTGACTTACCTGCTTTGCATGACTTTTCCGGAATTAGGGGCCAGTCTAGACGTAGCCTTTAGTGTATAACTTTAAAAACTAGTAGGCCTGTGGCACCTTAGAGACTAGGGTTAAAATTAGATTAATCAACTAATTGAATAATCGATGGAATTTCCATCAACTATTTGATTAGTCGATAAGGGCTCTTCTGCTTTGAAATGTAGCAAGAGCCCACCCAGCTATTGATATATTTCAAGGGTGTAAGTGCCATGTGTGTTCCACATTTGAAATGCACAAGAGCCCCAGCAGGGACTCTTGTACATTTCAAGGTTGAAATGAAGGGAGCCTGGGGCCAGCAGGGGATGCTGATTCCCTGGCTGGTCCCTGGCTCCATAGGGTGCTTCTGCTTTGAAATGTACAAGAGCCTCAGCAGGGCTCTTACACATTTCCAAGGTGGACCAATGCCACTGCACCCCTGCCTCCTTCCACAGAGCTGGAGCTGGGAAGAACTGGCTTTTATTGTATGTCGGCTATTCGATAAGCTTTTGCTTACATCCCTATTAGAGACTAACAAATATACATAGACAGTATCATGAGCTTTCGCGGGCAAAACCCACTTCATCAGATGAGCTGGAGAATTTATAACAGAAGAAGAAGAGGAGAAAAAATAGATACCTGTCAAGTGTAGGATGGGTGCTGATGAGGCTAATTAAGTGGGCTGGATGTGTCCTATACCTAGCTTTTGATGTAAAAATGAGGTGTTAAATGCAGGCAGGGCTGGCTTTATAATGCGACATTTAGATAATGTCATTGTTCAATCCCCGAAAAACATTGTCAAATATGCAGATGAATGTGGATTCCACACACTCTCTCTGGAATTGGCTAGTGAAATTCCTTTATAGAACATTGGCTACTTTTAAATTCATTAATGAGTGCCCAGGCAGGTTAAAATGTTCCCCTACAGGTTTTTGCATGTTACCATTTCTGATATCTGACTTGTGACCATTTATTCTTTGTTGTAGAGACTGTCCAGTTTGGCCAATGTACGTGACAGAGGATTAGAGGATGTGCTGTTGTATGAGCCCCTGATGTTGTGGCTTATGTGGTTAGGACCTGTGATGATGTCACTTATATTGATGTGTGGCTGCTTTTAAATCCATTAATGAGTGCCCGGGCAGGGCATTAATGAATTCCCAGGCAGGTTCCCCTACACAGGTTTAGGTGTGTGCTGGGGAGAAGTCTTGTCTTCTCAATTTGAGTTGTTTATGCATTTGACAAACAAATATTGCAGACAAAGTTGTAAGAATCTTGCAGTAACAAATGATCATATTTCTGTTTTTCCTTCCTATCAGCACACCTGACTTTGATTATCACAGGTAGTTAACTGATGAAAGGAGTATGTCCTCTCTTTTTTCTTTTCTTTTTTTGTATTAAAATGATCAAGTGTACTAATGGAATGCTTAAAATAGCTAAGGTGGCAAAAGAAAGACGTGGGAAAGGATATTGTGTTTTGACAATATCACTGGCATATAAGATTTTGTAGTGTGATTTTTTTTTTTTTTTTGTAATGTTAATATAGATTTTAGGCTGTGGAATACGTGATTGACCATTTTGATACAGGAGCTTAATTTTAATTCATGTTTATTTGGGATCTGACGGGGAATGAATGATGTATGGGAACTGGGGTAACATCCATCAACTAAAAATGAGAAGATATCACTTAAACACAACTGGAGTGAGTTGTCTAGGGAAATAGCAAAATTTCCATCTTTAGAGGTTTTTAAGCCAGGATTGACAAAGCTGTGGCTAGAATGATTTAGTTGGCCCTGCTTTGCTTGCCTGCTACTTATTGTTACTGTCAGTCAAGCTGAAAAATATTGTCCATCCCGTTCTTCTTGAATTTAGTCTGTGAATATTAACATTAATGATAACTTCTGAAACGTTTTAATTAGCCGGGAGAAGAGTGCCTTTACAAACTATGAAGGCCTGGTCTACAGCTAAAACTTAGGTCAACCAAGCTTGTTCAGGCATGTGAATAATTGTAGGTAAACCAACCCAAACCCCATTTTCCTATCCATTGCCTCCTACAGAGCTGGATTAATGGAAAACCTCCTTCCATCTCTGTAGTAAGTGTCTACACTACAGGCAGTCCCCGGGTTACGTACAAGATAGGGACTGTAGGTTTGTTCTTAAGTTGAATCTGTATGTAAGTCGGAACTGGCGTCCAGATTCAGCCGCTGCTGAAACTGACTGCCAGTTCTGATTTACATACAGAATCAACTTAAGAACCCCAGGCGTCCCCAAGTCAGCTGCTGCTGAAACTGATCAGCAGCTGATTCCAGGAAGCCCGGGGCAGAGCAACTCTGCCTCGGGCTTCCCGTAGTCAGCGCTGGTCAGTTTCAGCAGCAGCTGACTTGGCGACGCCTGGGGCCAGCCGCTGCTGAAACTGACTGCCAGTTCTGATTTACATACAGAATCAACTTAAGAACCCCAGGCGTCCCCAAGTCAGCTGCTGCTGAAACTGATCAGCAGCTGATTCCAGGAAGCCCGGGGCAGAGCAACTCTGCCTCGGGCTTCCCGTAGTCAGCGCTGGTCAGTTTCAGCAGCAGCTGACTTGGCGACGCCTGGGGCAGAGCAGCTGGGGTGCTGCTGGGTTGCTCCAGTAGCGCCGCTCCTCGGTGCTACTGGACCAACCTAGCAGCACCCCATCTGCTCTGCCCCAGGCGTCCTGATTCAGCCGCTGCTGAAACTGACCAGCAGCGGGT